CCCCCCCCAACTCTGCCAGCCCAGCCTGGTCCCTATCAGAGAGCTCAGCCCCGAGGTGAGGCAGGGGGGAGTCCAGAGCTGGAGCAGGGCCATGGGAAGGAAGGGGGACAGGAGGGAAGGGTGGCAAGAGGGGCTGCAGGTTATCGGACTCTGTGGTCCCTCCCAGCTTCCACTCCTGTTTTGCAACCAGGTCCAGGCTCAGCTTTTAGCATCCACCTCCTCCTCTCATTCAATGCTGAAATACATTTTATTTTTTTTTTTCCCTAAAGAAAGCGGTAGCACCAATTTACCATCTCTTCTGACCTCTCTGCCTTCCTCCTGCTCTCCAGATGTAGAGACCAGGTATCTTCTGGCAGTATCTGTCAGGGAATCCCAAGCCTCTAGGAACAGGTGCTATCCACATCAGGGATGGACCCCAAGTAGATGCCAACACACTATCCGTCTGAGGCCAATGTTCCTCATCAGTTCCTACCTATGCAGGTGCTGCCAAAGCAGCCAGCAGAACCGATCCAACCCAGATGAGGCACTGGTGTCCAGTGGTTGCTCTGTCAAACTAGCCAGAATGTGCACGATACGGCGTTTGAGCTGGTACCTGACGAAGTTAGAATGGCACAGACAGACCATGCTTGCTTAAAGATGAAATTTCTCCACTGCGGTTGTCTGAGCAGGAGAATGAGTTTATAGTGAATCGATGCTTTTGTGTTGCATGGCTTAGCATTTTTTATAGGGCTTTTGGAGCCCTGAAGCTGGGTTTACTATATTGCTAAACCACAGCCTGAGCAATCAGCTTTGAGGTCTGGACACCAGACACTTCCCCAAATGCTCTTCAGCCCCAGCACGAGTATCCCCATCCATATTTGATATTTGTAGGGCTCTGTCTCCAAATGCTTTTTTTTTTGTTGGAAATTCCTTTGCATGCAGGGGGAATGCATGCAATCCAAAGGGATTCCTAACTATGTCCCCACCTTTTAGAGGATCATCCTTTTATGAACATACTGTTCTGGTCTCTGCCACCCTTTGCAGGGATCTTTGTCTCCAGAGCAGCCACTGCCCTCCTCTTTTCTCCAACAAGTGACTTGCATCACTGGAACAGCACTGGAAAAAAATACCAGAGGAAAGATCCTCAAGATTAGAAATAGAGTTTCAAATCACTTCCTACTCTGCCTGTTTATCGCAGCCGCTCATGATGTGTGGGACACCCCAGTACTGCAGGACCCCAAGAGATGGGTTCCTGTCAGAACAGTGTGTCACAGCCCAAGGCACCTGCAAATAAACAGTTCTGGTCCTTCAAAGCTCATTTAAGTACAGCAGGAAACATTTATGCAATAGACTGTAGAAATGCCCTTAAGACATAGTTGCCCAATTGTGGTTTTAGGGGGCCTATCAGATGCGGTCCTTCCAGCATAAGACTTGATACATCTGTGGAGTCTGTTTGGTTTGCCCATCTGGTATCCAAGCAATCCACCTAAAGCTCAGGTCTCCCCTAAGGTTTCCACAAGTTGGAATGTCATCTACAAAAAAGAATAAAAGCTGTAATATTAAGACGCTTGTGAAGAAAGTTGTGATGCTACAGAGAATCCCATAAGGGAGATGAGTCTCTGGAGTGTTTCTGGCCTCCTGAAAGTAGTTAATATTGGGAGTCCTTTCCTCTGAGATCCCCAGTTTTCATTTCAATAGCAGAGGAGCTTCAGAGCCCTAAGAGATTTGTTGGGATGGGTAAGGGTGAGCCTCAGGGTCCCTGTTCTCTTCCACCAAGTCATCTTTCCTTCCAAGAGGATGACCCTACTGGTCCACATGTCCAGAAAATTTTGCCAGAGCCAGAGTGATCCCAAAAGCATCACAGATCTCCCCTGCATAAGGTTTGCCAGGGTGTCTCCGGCCTGGAGAACATGCTGGGCTCTGTATCTCACATATCTGGAGCCCTGACAAAAGACAAAAGGCATGTCCTTCCCTTATCTGTCTGTCCTCTCCCTGCAGTCTCTTCTCACCCAGTGTCAGCAGCGAGCGGAGAGCTTGTTTGTTCAAGGCTCTCCCCGAGCGAGCTGAGTGCTGTTTCCATGCCGAACCCTGATGTGACAGGCAATTGGGCACCTCAGATTAGGAAGGCTGGGACGCTGCTTTGGTGTTGCAAACAGCTGGGGCAGGCAGAGCCTCATCCATTAGCAGTGTGCCGCAGGGTGCAGAAGGAGAGAGAGAAAACAAGAGAGAAAGAGACAGAGATCTGGACTAATCTCTCTTGGTGTACCCAAAACAATCTGGCTCTTCCTTTACTCTCAAACTGGCGTCACATAAACCAGCCACCCTCCAGCCCAGGTGCTGAGCTTAGCCTCTCAGCTTGGATTGAGAGTGGAAGCTTGTTCGTTTCTGCTGGCGGGGCTAACAACCCCATGAGAACCTGGCCAGTCCAAAAAGAGCTTCAGCGAGCAGGAGGATACTCAGTCAATGGGGGAGCCGGAGCTGGAATGGCACTTTGTCACGGGATGCTCTTCCCTCTTTTGTTCATAAGGCACCTGCCAGTCATAAATGAGAATCATGCCCCTGGTGACTATGTCCTCAGTACTGGTGCCATTAGCAGAAAATGAGAAATTTCCTTGTCCCTATCCTAGTCTGTGATTCTTTCCCCAGAGGATCTTTCCCTCCCTTGGCCCACACTGAGCCATGTCCCTGTTTTTCCCTCCATGTCCACTCTGTCTCCCAGGACTAGATGGAGAGATTGTCCTACAGCTTCCAGCGGCTGCCAGCATCCACAAACTCACCTTGATGTCCCATGCCTGTCCATACCTACATACAGTTAATGTGGTGATTTTATCTGTGTCTTGTTCAGCTGTGACGTCCGCAGTATCAATGGCTTTTTTCTCCTCCTCTCACCTCCAGATTGCTAACTGACGCTGCAAGGACACTGCCCCCCGCCCTCTTCTCTGCCTCTGCTATGGACACTTCTGCTTTCAGCCTCCCCACACCAGCAGTGTCAGAGGAGGGGAATGTCTCTGGCAGCTGGGCAGGCTTCACCACCCCCAACAGTTCCACCACCGCCAGCCCTGGTGTGGTTGTCAGTGGTGTCCTCATCCCCCTGGTCTACCTCATTGTCTGTGTGGTGGGGCTGGCTGGGAATTCTCTGGTCATTTACGTGGTCCTGCGGCACTCTGTGAGCGAGTCGGTGACTAACGTCTACATCTTGAACCTGGCCCTAGCTGATGAGCTCTTCATGCTGGGACTGCCGTTCCTGGCTGCACAAAATGCCCTGTCCTACTGGCCGTTTGGGTCCTTCATGTGCCGCCTGGTGATGGCCGTGGATGCCATCAACCAGTTCACCAGCATCTTCTGCCTGACGGTGATGAGTGTTGATCGCTACCTGGCTGTGGTCCACCCAGGGAAGTCCTCCAAATGGCGGACAGCACGGGTGGCCAAGGCTGTGAGTGCAACTGTGTGGGTGCTGTCTTCCATAGTGGTGCTGCCCGTGGTCGTCTTCTCAGATGTCCCTTTAGGGATGAGCACATGCCACATCCAGTGGCCAGAGCCTGCCTCAGTGTGGAAAGCTGGCTTCATCGTCTACACTGCCACCCTGGGCTTCTTTGGGCCACTGTTGGTGATTTGTCTCTGCTATCTGCTTATCGTTGTGAAGGTTCGTTCCTCTGGCAGGCGGGTGAGGGCTCTGTCCTCCAAGCACAAGCTTTCAGAGCGCAGAGTGACCCGCATGGTGGTGGCTGTTGTGGCTGTCTTCGTTCTTTGCTGGCTCCCCTTCTATGTCCTCAACATAATCAATGTCGTCTGCCCACTGCCAGAGGAGCCATCCCTCTTTGGTGTCTACTTCCTCGTGGTGGTGCTGCCATATGCCAACAGCTGTGCCAATCCTATCATCTATGGCTTCCTCTCCTACCGCTTCAAGCAGGGCTTCCGGAGGGCCATCCTCAGGCCATCCCGCCGAGTCCAGAGCCAGGAGGTGCCAGCATGCCCCCCAGAGAAGACTGATGATGAAGGGGAAGAGGGCGAGATCAGCAAGATCACCCAGAATGGTAATGACAGACAGGATCACCCTCTAAGCAGTGGGGAAGGAGAAAGCAATGAGCAAAAACCACTCCCTGAGGAGCCTGTGGGATGCGAAAAGAGCAGCAACAAGTTGCATGTCAGTTATTTATGATGAAAGGGATGGCGCAGGGGAAAGAGACATTGGGACACAGAATCCCCTTCACCCTCTGTGCTTTTCAACCTCAAAGGCAATGGGAGACGTTGATACAGGGAATATTGAAGTCCAAGGCTCTGCTTAAAGATGAGAGGGCTCCATGAACTTGTGGAAAAAGCAAGGCGTCGTTCTTGGCTTTGGAAGGGACACCTGAGGTTTGTGTGGTACCAGGCAAAGGAAGGACTGCATCCAGGGGGAGCTGAAGAGGTGATGGGCACTGACAGTATGGAGAGAGCAAGGTCAGCTCTAGATTGCACAATCCATCCTTAGATCACCCAGCTGTGAAGGGCATCAGCTGCCATCTGAGTGTGGCACCTCAAGGAAGTCCTCAAATGGCACATGCAACAAACAGGCATCCCAGTGCCTTGATTATCTTCCTTATAAACATGAGAAGCGGTTTACCCTAAAAGAAAAACAGGAAGGAAAAATGTCTGCAGCAAAGACATACCAGCCAGTTGCATGAACGGCTGACTCTTCTCTAGCTCTCCAGTAAGTTTTGGGGACAACTTTCCTACCCATGCTGGTAGTGGCTGGAGACCACTATGACTGCTTGAAGCCTCCTCTTTGTTTCCAGGGCTCTCATGGACTCTGGACAGGCTAATGAGTCTTACCTGGGAGAGCAAATGGGACATTTCTTTCCTGAACCTCACATTCTTCAGGGTTTTCATGGTGCCTCTGCACCCTGGTGGAAGGTGTAACATGGGAAGGGAAGAAGACAACGAGGCGTGGGCTGGAGGCAGGGTTCCTTACAAGCTGAAATGCCCTTTCCCTTTTCTTCTCCCTAAGCCTTATTGTAAATAAACAAAAAGCCTTTGGACTTAAACGGCCAACTGGGCAGAACCACTCTGTGTGTTTAGGGGAGGGGAGGTGCTGTAGATTTGGCTCTCCTGAGAATACACAACGTCTTTGAGATGAGTTAATCTCTGTATGGAGTAATGTTTGGCTGGTACAGGAGATCAAGGCATGTATCAGTACGGGATGATGGCAGGGAGCAGAGGGAGGTCAGGGATCTCCAGGGTGTGAGAGCTATGGTTGCAAGACTCTGGGCAATACCAGGAACTGATTTGTGGGAAATGGTAGAGGATTTGGCTCAGGATGGGCAAGAAATTATGTGCCTGCATGTGTACAAAGGTGGTGGTATTCAAAAGTTTGATCACTGGACTGTAGGTGTATGAGAATGGCTGAACAGGGTCAGGGATTGAGGAGTCAGGGCTGGTGGGAGATGTGCATGGGTCGGGCACTGATGCTAATCTGTGTGTGGCTGTGGGGTGTGTATGAATGTGTACAAATGTACGTAAGGGGGTACGCATGTGTAGAAGTGTGTACAAACACAGATGAGGAAGTGTGTTTATGTAATTGTGGGATGTTTAAGTGTAGATACGGTTGTGTAGGCATGCAAGTATACATGGAAATGTGCGTGCGCATGTGAATGCTTGGGTGAGAGTGAGAGTGTGCGTGTTGCTGTGAGTGTTGGATGAGTGCTTGTTTCTGTGCATCGGTTGTTGGGGGGAAGCTGTGCGTGGGCATGTCTGAGCATGCAGGCTAGAAGAGCAGCAATGTATGAGGGTGGGTGGGATGAAGGTCTCCACTTTCACTTCATTCCTGCAGGCTCTGCTAAATGTCTGTCTGTCCCCACACCTTGAACTTCTCCATGAATGCTGTTGCTAAGCTACAGCCACTACGAAGACTCTCATACCAGAGTGCTGGGTTATATCTGGGCACTTTTCTCCAAAAATAATTTTGAGAAATGGGAAGGAGGGACGCACCAGGAGGACACATGCCTCCATGAGGTCAGGAGATCTTGGAGGAGGCAGTGCATGGAAAGTCAGTGACAAGAGCTGTCTGGTTGATGGAAAGATGTCTCACAGGTCACTTCAGAGAAGGCACAAGATGTGAAGGGATGGCATGGGCTCAGGTGTGCTGGGACAGAAGACAAAGGCCCTGGACTGGGAAGCAGGAAAAGCTGCAGCAGCTGAGAACGACGGGAACAGAGCCACCTTATGAGGAAGCAAGAGACAAGGTCACCTAAATGTGATGTGAGAAGAAGTGAAGGCCTGGCAGGCATCAGGGGAACTGCAGTGCAGGGCACCCAAGTTCAGCAAAGGATGGTCACAGGGCATCAGGTGAGGAGATGTGTCCTAGCCAGGCCAGAGAGCAGAAGAAGAGTGGGAAGGGACTGCAGACATGACCAAGCAAAAGACATTCAGCTGTGCTCTCGGCCACTGGTACAGCCATCACCTCCCCAACAGAGAAAGGTTGTCCATATGAATCCTTCATCCTCTTGTTTCCTCTTTGAGTCTGGGATGCTGGTGCCAAGCTGTCCATGCCTGTAGGCTCAGCCTTGGGAGCCAAGCTACCAGTGATACCACACAGCTATCGCTTAGCTCCTCTTACAAAGTGCCCTTGCTCCCCGGAGTGTGGGCAGTCAGACACCCAGGAGTGCAGGCTCAACTCATGGGGAAAAGAAAGTGCTTGGTAGCCAGTTTCTGTCCTCTGCTACCTCTTCACATCTCCTCCTCCTTCCATCCATGCATCAGTTGCCCACACTGTGGGCCACAGTGAGAAAAGCAGCCAAACTATTCACGGGCGTGGGATACACAGTCTGTCGGACTAAAAAAACCTCTTCTTTTTTTTTTTTTTTTGCCCGGGGAGCTCCCACAGCATCCATTGGATAAAGCGCAATCAAGAAATCAAGCCAAAGCTCCTGCCTCCACATGGGGCAGCAAACGGCAGGAAGATTAAAAGATCTGGCTACCAAGTGGTCAGATAGGTGGACAACACTGTTCGCGGTCAAAGACCAGGCACTGAAGAAGGCATGTGACAGTGAATGAGGACCTTGCAGGAGGCAGCTCAGATGGGTGGGGGGCAAGATATAGGAAGGGTTTTCTTGTCCACAGAGTGGCTGCCCAGCTGCCCTGGGGAGATGGGGGAGTTCCCCGGCTGCCAACACGCTTAACAGCATCGCTCTCCTTCACCGCTGAATTGAGCTGAGACTTCATTGTGCACGCCTTTGCTGCTCCATCTGCTGCAAGTCACCACTCGAGAAACTCCACCAACTGGTTGGCTTCCTAAAATACCTACATCTCTGAAGAGCCCCAGCACTGCAACGCCAGCACCAAGCAAGTGCACCAAGGTGACATCATTTTGATACAGGGAGTCTGAGCCCAGGAGGAAGGCAGCTCCACAGGGGAGCCTGCTGGGGAAAACAAAATGTGCTCCAGGGAGACCTGCAAAAAACTGGGGGTCTTCAGTTTAAACAGGAGTTTAAAAGAAAAAAGCATCGTGTTTTTCTGTCTTGTGTTTTCTTCTCCCTCCTACGCCGCATCCTATTTTTCAATGACAAATCAGGGGGAAAAAACCAGAGGTGAACTGAAAAGAAGACTGGGGGAGGGAAAAGGTATTTTTTTGTCCAAAATCCATGACGACAAAACAAACGCTACAAAATTCTGCAGACTCTCACCATTGATTAAAAGGCTGTTTATCATAGGAACAGATGTTTGTAATGACGGACAGTGCCTCGCTGCCTCCTGACCCCTGCCTCTCCCCTCAGCTCTGTCTCCCTCCTGGTGAATCCCCAGCTTTTTCTGTGGCAATAGCATTAATCCGACTGCCCTTGTGATCCCTCTCCTAACGACGGTGCGGTTGACTCCGGGCAGCCCAGAGGCTGCAGGGACCGTGCACAGTGGCTAGGTGAAATTCTGGCTGCGTTCAGGGGGGGATTTGTTCCAGTCAGTTGTGGAAATGGATTTTTCTATTCTGGGTGCAGAGACACAGAGATAAGGGCTCCATCAAGCCCTGTGCCGCACAAAAGGTTTTATTCTCGTCACGTAGAGATCGGAGCTGCAAGACTAGAAAGGGCCGCAATGATTTCAGCAGCAAACTGATGAAGCAGTTCCTTCCCAGCAAACGTTTGATCATAGATGGAGTGTTAGAGAGCCCGTTCTGCCAGCTGCTCGCAGAGTTCACGTGCACACGTCAGCGTGCACGAGGGCAGGCACGGAGAGGCATATGTCTGTGGTGTGTATACGTGCATACTAATGAGTGTTTATGTGAGTGCATGCGTGTATGTGTGGGTACATGTGACTGTCTGAATGTGTATAGATATATATATATACATATTCATGTCTGTGGGTGCTTTGATTCAAGTATATCTATGTGTGCATGAGACCACATGTGGCCACCCACACAGATGCACACATACCCGGTCATGCACGTACCTCCCACCCCAAGCGTGAACGCAAGAAGGCAGCACATACGCCTTCATACACGCAGCCCAGGCACAGGCTAAAGCTGGGAGATGGCAACTGGACCTTGCCAATGATCCTCCCCACGCACGGACCCACCATACATGCACACCCAACCGCATTTCTGCCAGCCCAAGAGTGACCTGGGGCAGCTTGGGACCCACTCGGTGTGACCCTGCTGCTCTGCAGGGGATCTTCAGAAGAGGAATGGGAAGGGCAGGGAATGGCGCCTGGGGAGGGGTTCCAGTGTGGGGAGGCGAGGGCGAGCTTCCAGGCTGTTACCAACCCAGCCCACACTCAATGCCCTTTGAAGCTGTTGTTAGGGAGCCGCTGTATTTGTCATCAGCCGGGAAAACACAGCAGCTCAGCTCAAGCAACAGCAAAACCATCCAGGCCATGCTCTGCTTCGGCTGTTGGGGGGGACCAGGGAGCGAGGGGGTGTGGGGAGGGGGCAGGAGGCAGTTTATCAGCTGTGGAAAAAGGGGAGCCAGGAGATAAAGAGACAGGGAGGTACCAGAAAGGGAAACACCCTTGAAAAGGTGATGTTCCTGGCTCTCCTGGGGATTCAGCAGAGAACTGAAATGCTTTTATCCGCTCGAACGAGTGGAAAACATGCAAATATTTGCTCACGAAAACTTGGTGTTCTTTGCCTTCCCAAGCATAAAATATGCAAACGCCCGGCACAACGCGGCCGGCTCGCTCAGCTCTCACACTTACCACGCCATGTGCAAACACAGGCACACGGACACACACCCGCCACGTCACACGCG